TATAATATATAATATATAATATATAAATCATATAATGTATATAATAAGAAAATTATAATGTAAATATAATTACAATTGAAATTATAATAATCACAATTATAATTATAATTACAATATAAATAATCATGGACAATATAAGAAGAACCTAACATTTTATTTAAAGAAAGAATATCTTCATTGTAGGTAAATTGTTTACGCTTTGTGATGTTTCAATTTCATGTGCTTCGTTAATTCATATCGACGGTAGAACATTTTCAGACAAATTTCGCAATGTCACTTAAGTAGCTTGCCGCACTCCAGTCTTTGATGTCGGCGTAGATTGTCCATCCATTTATACATCTTGCCGCATTCGCCATATAAATATTGCTTCGGTAGCGGTTCCATTTGGCCACAATTTACGTTATTTAAATGTAGAAACGCATTCATGCGGCTAGCATTCAGTTCAAATTTGTTCACCATCTGAAATACGAAAAAAATTTTGTTATTTTCGTGAAATTGGTGACGTTAAAAACGATTTAATAGAGATCAGAGTAAATATTGAGTTCAATTGATAAGAGATTCAGTACACGAATCGATCAATACTCAATCCAATACACTGCAATGAATATATTAATTTTTACAATATAGATTTTATCTCGTAATGATTTATTTTTTCTCTTTTTTTTATTACAGAAATCATTTTTTAAATCATATACCCTTACAACTCTTGAATTTTGTATTAAAGTTTTACTAATAATAGCCATTTTTAGAGAGATTCACGTGAATTACGTTCTTTTATCAATTGAAATATATTAAATCAAGTGAAAAAGAGAAGAAGACATTGTTATACAATGTATAATAACAGTCTAGGCTGTATATTTACATAATCACGCACAGATAGTTGGAAATAATATCTACATATAATTGATATAACAGTTTGTTTTATTAAGATCGTAAACTTTAGGAAAAATATAATATTTCGTTTTTTTTTATTTGCGATAGAATCGATAGCAAAAAGAAAATATAATAAATTGCAGGGTTGATAAGAGATAATGTGTAATTTTTTTTTTTAATAAAACGGTTTTTTCAAACATATTTTTCAAACAATGATACATACATGCTTTAAACAGTATTATAAAAAAAACATGTATAAAACATGTTAAAAACGTCGATTAAGCACGTTTTAAACAGTTTAAAATATGTTTAAAACATTTTTACCAACTCTGATAAATTGCTTAATAGCATGTATTCATTATTACATAAAAAATACACGTGACAATTTTAAATGTATTCAAATCTACAGCATTCGTTGGAAATATTACAGATTCTTACAGTTACTCGTTTCTAAAGAGTCATTTGAACTTTTGAAGTCATAACAAAACATGCTTCATACCTTGAGTTTTGCCGACATAAAATTGATGCGAGTGGAAAAGCTGTAAATCGACAAATCGTTTCATGAGGTTGTTGACCGTAAACATAGTGCTTTTAAATGAAAAAGAAAGACAAAATATAGATTTAGAATTTGAATAAAAAAGTTTTTTTATTAAGTTATACCATAAATAAGTATATAAAACTATAAATAAATTTAATGCAGTATATTAAAACATAGCAAAGAAATAATTATATACACAAAAACCACTAAACCGATGTATGTGGAATTAAAAAAATATCTAAATTAATCAAATCTTTAATTATGTTGTTAAATATATTGCTACGATAAATAAATTAGAATTAATCATAAAAAATTATATGCAAAATATTCAATATAAAAAATTATGTAAAGAATATTTGCATGAAACGATAATTTCCAATTTTAAATGATAACAATATATTATCTATATATTTTCAACAAAGATATTATATGTTGAAAATGATAAGATAAGAAATATATAATCATTAAATAATTAATCGTATTTCAGAAATAAAGATTAAATAAATTTTATATTTTAAAAACTATTTTTATTATCGTTTAATTAAAAATAATTTAATTAATTAAAAAATAATTATCTTATATTTAGATTATAATACAAAATACAATAATACAAAATACAAAATAAAATGAAACTTCTGAATTGTGCAGACTGTGTTGTCTACTACCAAAATAAAACTTACAAAAACAAATTAGATTAAATGTGAACTCAACACAATATAGATACACAACGATTGTGTAATTTAAAAGATGCATTATTATTATTTTATTAATAGCTTTTCGATTAAAATTTGTATGTTAAACATATAAAAATATTGTACTCGTGAATCATGAAAACGGTCATGATGAATTAAAACATGAATGAGCATATATTTTAACAGTTTTATATTCTCAATATATGATACATATAGGGTACGCGTTAATGCACCAAGTAATTATAGAATTTTGTTGCATAATAAAAAATAGGAAGTATATATTTGTAATATTCATTCATTCGCGGGATAAAAAGCATAGACGATCGTCTGTGTCAAAATAACAATATTCGTTTGGCTTGGATTAACAGTTGACTATATTATACATATCATATAATGACTATTTTTATGACTAAACTGCACAAGTAATAAAAGATTAAATACATTATGGCTACGATGTCTTCGTCATAAATATAGGCGAAATGCCTATGTAGACATAACAAACGTGTCTCGCAAAAGAATTCCATATATTTATCCTTAATCCATATATTCATTCTTAATTATAATAGTCATTAATGGAAAAAGTGATAAAAAGATTTTTTATTGGAATAAAGAAAAAAATATTTTCACATGTAGAAATAAATATACTGAAGCGTTTATGAAAATTTCGAAAGCATCTCTTCTTGTATTTCCAGCAATTTCAATTTGACTTTTGGAATCTAAAGTTATATCTTTTAAAATTATTATTTTATTTCCCTAAAATTATTATTCTATTCTCCTAAATTGAAATAATATTTGTCAGCCATCTTGGGATATATGTTCATCTTATGTCATTAGTACACAAATAAGTATTCTATTTTATGCGAAATTGCTTGTATTGTTAATTTCAAATATTTTAAGCATCGCGTCGATTAAAAACATGTCAATCAGTTATTCACCATTAATTGCTCTATACAAGTTGATCAAGATCTTCATTTATTTATAATAATCGCTTTCGTTCTTCCTTATCGCTGATTAATCGCGGCCTCTAATCGAAATCCTTCTTCTGTACCGTTTGATTCATTCTTCTTTCGCAACCAACGATGTGGGCGTTTAGGACAAATCTGTGCTTGAATCTCCGGCCGCAGATAGGACATACCTCGCAAGGCACGACACCGCACTCAAGTCGTTTGTGTCGGCTCAAGGATGTCGTGGCCTTGTATGTTTTTCCACACCTGCCACACTCATATTTGGCATCGCCTATGCTTTTCTTTCGGATACCTCTGGACATCTTGTATGATGATCCACTCGCTCGACGTTGACTCCACTCGTTATTGTCCTGCGACATCAGCATTTGTGCCAGCAAACCTGCAATGAAAAGACAATGTGGTTAGACAATTTATTTGCGATTTGTTCGACGCTATGTCGTAATCGCAATGCTCCCCCGAACCGGAAATAGAGATCAAACAAAATGACTAGTTAAAAATATGGATAGACTGATCTAATTACAATTTCTTTCATGTTTAATGGATTTTTGGTGTAAATTAAAGATACAAGGATTATATGTAATGTCGATCATCAACTTCTCTCTGTAGTTTAATTAAAAATGATTTAAAAAATCGCGTAATTCGAGAGAACACAATTTGCGGAGAGAACATACAACTAAGGGAATTTTTTTGTCATTAAAAAGACAAAATTAGTAAAAGATAAGCAAATTAGAATAAACATCTTTCAAAATAGAAAAATGGAATAAAATTTATAAAATATCAGGAATTAAAAATTACATACTATTGTTTAATTAATTATGAGCATTTAATGAGTAATTAATGCGTCAAGAACCTTTTATCAATTTATCCATTGCCAGTGTCTGGTAAGCATTGCAGTGATTAAGTTCGTGCAGTTAAGACTTCCACTTTCGACAGGAAAATAAAAAAAGTTTTAATCAGAGTACTGCTAAAATTTAATTTATATAAGCTATAAAGATACAAGATTGAGAAAAGTGCGATGATGCAGAAGAGATCAATTATGAAAAAAGAGCAGAAAATAAAATGAGATGAAGAGATAACGCATGCTATTGCGGATTTTTATGCAAAGTAGAAATCGTTATTTATTTCTAAAATTTTTAGATATATTTAAAAGTAGATGTCAAGGATAGAAATAATTATATAAATGAATTATAAAATTTTATTACAACGCTAAAACTTTAGTTAATTTATTGATACAAATATATTTTTAGCTTAGTGTTGTAAATTCTGTTTTTATTTTTATACAATAAAAAATGAAAATGTCAGTATTTGTTCCTTGGATAATTTATTACACTATTTAAAAACATGTATATTTATTACTTATACGTTTATATAAAGATGTTATGTATAGTGGAACTAGAAACGCTTTTTCTCTCTTAAAATTCTAAACATTTAAGAATAATTGTATTGTATAATACATATAATTTAAACAAAGAATCCTAATGATCATTTTTTATATCTTAATAAATAAATCTAATAAACTTTATCTGATATAAACGTATGAAAAATAAATAAAAATTTGAAATTATCTAAAGAAGTAGGAATACCGATTTATCATACGCAATAAACAAGACTTATTGTGTCTTATTCTGAAAATCTATAGTCTTAGATAAAATAAGATATTTGAATCAGATACATTGTATCCTAGTATATAATCACACATATATAGGCTCTATACATAGTTGCTTTCCATACAATAATGAAAAATGATACTATTTAACGATAACAAATGAAAAATCTTAAAACAAATTACAAGTTTAAAATTCTTTTAAAAATATATAATTGTGTATTTATCAGTATATACGCAACACATACACTTCATATTTTATTGCACCAGTTTGATGTTACACAGCGAGAGAAAACTCCTTTGCAATCTTAGTAATACAATTTCAAAAAATCCGACTTATGAAAAACACTAGTTTTAAAATAAATCTTATCAATTATCATAATTTAATGAGATTAATTTGAATCTCGTTAGATTACGCAATTTTTGACAACATAGGGTAATTGCCGAAATCGCACAATCACGCTTAAAAATTCAATTATTGTACTTACATACTTTCTTATGATTTATTTAAGAACTACATGGTATTGCAACGCTGCTGCATTACACTTGTGACATACAGCACAATAGGAGTGTTGTTATTTACGTAAATAAAAAAATCGTGTTATTATTTTTAAACGTATTTCACAGCAAAATTACAGAACATATAAGTTAAATAGCCAGAGTCTTGATCATTTGTATATTGTAATTAGAATATTATTGAAATTAAATTAATAGAGTTAAAGTTTACAATTTTATTTATAGATTAAATCAATAGAAGTTTACAAAAGGCTCTAGTTTTCTAAATCGCACCACGATGTAGTCTCCTAAATCGCACCAATTGCACACCACAATCATTGCCTAATATTTTTACATTTTTATTCCATTTATTATTATTTAAAAATGTATATTGTAAACCTACGAAGTGTTTATTTTGTTTCACATAGAAACTCTTTAAATTACTTCCTGAAATTATCACGTGTTTCAGAAATTATGAAAAATATATTCTTAAATTTTTGACAGCATAAGAAAATACAATTTTTTCCTTTTCTTATGTAATTTGAAAATTTTTTTTGCATTATTATAATGTTTTAATTGAAAAATATCAGTATGTGATGCGATTTAGGCAACGGATTTCTTCATTGCCAAAATTGCACTATACTGAAAAAATTCTCATTTAAAACATTATAATGGCTGCGTTCGGAAACATCGTTCGAATGCCTCCGATGCCTCGAATTCATCATTACATTAACATTAATAAATGTTAAACAAGGACAGATGACGAATCCGAGGCATTGGGGGGGGGAGGAGGGAGGCAGTCCGAGTGACGTTTCCGAACGCAGCCACTAATGCGAATAAGTTATGAAAAAATTACATAAGAAAGGGAAAAAGAGTTTATTATACTGTACAAAAATTTAAGAATATTCTTTATAATTTCTGAGTTGTAAGCTTCTATGTGAAAAATGGTACGATTTCGGCAACTTTATTCTATATCAAGGATTTATCGAAATCGATGAGGTCACTAATTACAGTTTTACCATATCCTATTCCAAGCTGTTTTTTTCTTGCAGGACGCTAAATGGTGAGTTAATACAAATTTATGCGTAAATTGTTTGCCACATATTATGCATTTGTACTTGGGATGGACGCCACATTCCAATCTCTGATGTCTTCGCAAGGATGTCTCCAATTGATAACTCTTGGTACATCTTGTGCATTTGTAGATTACTGGCTTCTTCGCGTATTTCAGCTTCTGTATGTTCTTCACGATCAGTTTCGGGACTGAAAAGTAAAACAGAAAAACGTAGGAGCTAGATTAAATCATTGGTAGCAATTTAAAATAAGAAACGTTGTAATTATTTTACAGACTGTCACACCGAGATAAGACAAGTAAAAAAAGAGCTTAAACTTTTTAATCGCAGAAGTTTTATTAGAGGAGATGGCTTCTTTTGCCTATACATCGATTGTCAATAGCATTGTTTGCCTACATCACATTTGCTGACAGCACATTTGCACACAAAAATTATTGCTTACAGTTCAATTGCCTATACAAGCACTTTTGCGCACAAATAAAAATTTCAGAAACAAAGTCACATTTGCCTACATAGATTATTTTGTTTATAGTTATGTTCTTTTGCGCACAAATAAAAATTTCAGAAACAAAGTCACATTTGCCTACATAGATTATTTTGTTTATAGTTATGTTCTTTTGCGCACAAATAAAATTTATATTTTTAAAGAAAAGAATTTATATTTTAAAACGAAGAATTTGTATTTTTAAAGAAGAGAATTTGTGTTTTAAAGCAGAATTTGTTTTTAAAGCAAAGAATAATGTTTAAATTGTAGGCAATCGATATGTAAGCAATAATACATGTAGGCAAATATGATTCCGTTTTTGAAATTTTTATTTGTGCTCAAAAGTACATATAGGCAATCGAGTTGTAGATGATAATACATGTAGGCAATCGATCTGTAGGCAAACGAGATCCTTCCGAAATATAATTCAAGAAAAAGATGTGATTGATTATATTATAATTTTAATTATATTCAAATACATAGTAATATCAATCGATATCCACATATAAATACATTAGTAAAATATAACTTGCCTGATTTTATACAAATAAAATGTCAGGTGTCTTTTTTAAATTGGTCATGTAAAATGTTCTTATATTTTAAATGACTTCGATAAAATGCTGTTTATTTGAATATGTATTGAATACATAGATTATTAATTAAATTGTTTATATATACTCATATTATATATAGGGTGTCTGAGACTACCCCTTTTATCTCGGAAACAGAGCATTTTAGAAAAAAAATGTTTCAGATAAAAAAGTTGTGGAGTTCTAAATGATCTATTCAATGATCTGATCAGTTTGACCTTGGTGACGCCACCGAAGTCAGACTGATCAGATCACTGAATAGATCATTTAGAGCCCCACAATTTTTGTCTGAAACGTTTTATTTCTAAAATGTTCTGTTTACGAGATAAAAGGGGTGTACGGGTGGTCTCAGACATCCATATATAGAGGGTATTTCAAAAGTGATAAATCTTTCGCACAGGGGCAGAATGGACTAAACTGAGAAGAAAAGTCCTCTACCATTTTGCAATTTTCGCAATAATTAACAAAATATTAATTGCTAAAAATTGCCGAAAATTGATCTTCAATAAATTTTTACTCAAATACTGTCAACTTTACAGAAAAAAGTGCAAGAGACAAAAATTGTTTATTTTCTTCTCATAGAATTCTAAGAATTTTTTGAGAATTTTTTCAGAATTTTTTTAATACGTATTTTCTCATGTTGGTAAAAATAAGAAAATGCAATACTAAAAAGTTGATAAAAAATTCTGAAAAAATTCTTAGAGCTCTATGAGAAGAAAATAAACAATTTTTATCTCTTGCAGTTTTTTTGTAAAGTTGATAGTATTTGAGTAAAAAATTATTGAAGCCCAATTTTCGACAATTTTTAATCATTAATATCTTGTTAACTATTACGAAAATTGTAAAATGGTAGAGGACTTTTCTTCTCAATTTAGTCCATTTTACCTGCAAAAGATTTATCGTTACTTTTGGAACACTCTGTATAACAGATCTATATACAGAGTTCCGCTTGGACTGTATAATAAAAAAAATTTGTAACATAAAAATTATTAGTTCTAATGACAAAATGTGGATCAGTGTAAAAAGCAGCTCTGAAATTTTTTTATAAAGTTATAAACCGTCATTTTAGACGCGCAATGTAATGTATATACACGGAAGTTATTTGCCTCTCATACATTGTCGATGAAGCTATGTGGACATAGCAGAAGTATATAATTCGCTTGCGAAATTGAAATTTGTGACTTATACACGTTTTCATTTCCTCAGACGATAGTACACAAAATGGGCATTTGCTACGGCATTCAAGTGTCAACTGACACAATGGATGTATTGTGTATCCAATAGTGCAATCATTCACAAGCGGCTAAATAGCAATTTAATATGATTGATTGGATCTAAAGATAATAACATTCGATTGCTACTGCGCTGCTTGATGAGCAGTTGCACTACTGAATGACTTAATGCGGGAGAGATAAATAGTTTCTGTTATATAAAGAAACGGTCTATAAAATCGAGTAGGATAAAATTGTTAACAATATTTCATCAATTTATTATACGAAGAACATATGGAGATAATGGATGTTTCGAAACACACAGGTCCTTCTTCAGCAATTATTACAAAGATTTAAATTGATCGATATCAAATGATTAACATTACGCTTATATAATAGTTGATTAGTTTGTTACACGAGAACATTTCAAATGGTTGTAAACAATTTGTCCTTCAGACTTGAAAATCTGTTTTTTATTGTGAATGTAGAGACGATATCTTTTAAATGAAGTTCGTCAATTTTGTCAGTGTCAAAAATTAATCGAAATTGAAATCAGGATGCATTACATATAAAACAGGAGATCAATTACAATAAACGTCTGATTCGGTTGAACGCAAATGTTAAAATGCATTTCAACAAATTTCTGAATTGTAGGAAGTTTATTTCCTTTCATTAGATACAGAATATACAGTAAATATTTATTTCTTTACATAATAAAACAAAAATACAGAAATCTGTTTATAACAAAGTTTGAAAGTCAAAATAAAAATTAGCTATTGGTTCAGTTTATTGAATTCGTGTACTAGATACATGTGCCTTTTCAAGTGATACTTCCGTCTGAAAGCTTTATCACATGTCGAACAGACAAAATTGCGTTCCTTTTTACATTCTCTGCGTAGTAGATGAGTGTCATCTTTGCACATTTTTCCACAATCGGGGCATATCACGTAGTTTAAATTTCTGTTATTCTCGTCCCCTGAAAATGACAGCGATTTCTGGTTAGTAAAATGTCAAATAACAAGCACAAAATATCCGACTAATACAAAAAAATAGCGGCTCGTATTCAGAACGCACTTTTATCGATTAAAGCGCACTTTTATCTCTGAAATTCTATAATATGCGTGATGTAAAGTATAGTATGTTAGCGCGCTAACATCGTTGTAAGCGCGTTCTGAATATGGGCCATAGAATTTTGTACAATTATCAATTATCAATGAATGCGTCATCGATTTTGAATCCGTGAATGAAAGATGTAAACAGGATAAATATTGTAATAAATAGGATAAATCATAAATATTATAATTAAAGCTCATTTTAGACAATATATAAGTGATGTTAAATTTCACAATACAATTCTATTTGTAATTTGTAATATGCCATATATTTTTACACACGCATTACAAACATAATTCATATAATATAATTTACGTGTATTTTTGTACATGTATGTATTTTAATATATATCTTACATATATGTTCTTCAAATGTTTTTTTATAATATACGGCAAATAAAATTATAAATAGAATTGTATTCCGAATTTTGAAGTGAATTATTAGATTGTTTAAAATGGGCAAGAAAAAGAACATAGTTTGCAAATAAACTATAATATTATACACATATTCACATACATATGTAAATGGCTATTAAACGAATATATTATTTTGAATAGAAATCAGTAATAGGATGTATAAAAGAAAGAAAATCTTTGCACCGAAATATTTTGAAATATTTTATTTACATCACTTTACGCCATTTTTTCAAGCGCATTTCTGTTCTTTATAATCTCAATTATATAAACTGTCTCAGAAAGCAAACATGAATATTATTTGTAATATTAATATTTATAATATTTGTTATATTTTTGACAATTGCGATTTTATTTAAGTAATGTTTTTAGATTGGTTTTTGTATTTAAGGTGATTTTTTAGTAAATAGAGTTACTATAGAAATACTTAATTTCTGTATACGTATAATAAGTACCGAACTTGATATGTGCAAAATTCTAAAGTAGATTAATTATGAAACGATAGAGAAAAAAAATGTTGAAAATGTAACTTTTAACGTGTAACTTATTATTAGTGACAGGTAAGGATCAGAGTGCACTAACTGCACAAAAATATTATCATAGACTTCTCCAAAAAAACGAAATTATAATAGTTTAAAAAATTACGATTGTAATGATTACATAAAAGTAAAAGGCCATTCTGGAAAGATATTTACATGCATAAACTTGCAAATTTAATCTCGAAAAGTAAATATAATTTCATCTTGTTTTCGTTTGATGAAGATAGCAGCTCTTGATTTATCATCGCACGTTTCATACTATTTCATTAAGATATATACGTAATTTTAATATTTTATTCAAATTATTCAGATATTCGTGATTTTGGATGAACTCTGGAGAGGTACCCCAAATTTTCAGCACTTTCCTAAAGGACCATCTCAAGAGATAATCTAAATAAATGAAAGGAAGATTAATAACAAAGAAATTAATATATAGAGAGAGAGAAATGATTGTATAACAAAAAAAAACAAAAGTGCTATATTTTATTTGTAATTACAACAAATCTGCACATATTCTATTAAATAAATAGAGCATATATAAGTTCAACCACCGAAAAGTACTTTAATTATTTTGGAAATTAATTAGATAAAAAAATCTTAATTTAAAAATATTGAGGATATAACTTTTCCAATATTCTTTATTTATAATTAAAATTAATTAAAATTGATCGTATAACTAATATATATATATATAATTATATTATTTGATATTATTTATCATAAATAATATACAATAATATCGTATTTTACAACTGATCTTATTTTTCATTTTCTTACATGCAATACATACTTTAACAATTATCTGATACTAATATAACAATAATAAATTTTACTGTTACACGCAAATATGTAATTTAATCCTTTTTTTAATGATTCAACGTTTTTCTTTGTGATGAATTCGAATGATTAATTGTGCCACATAAAAAGATGTATTAAATCAAATATATTAAATCTAAATTTGAAGAATGATACTTTTTTTATCACCACAATAGCAAATCTTGTTCTTTAAGAACGTTCAGATTTAACATTCAGAACAGTCAGATTTAACGTTCAATAATAGTTCATCAAAATTATTATAATTTAAAACGCAAGAATATTTGGCGAGAATACATTTTATGATGTATTAAAAATGTTGTGAAAATATGTTAAAAATACAATATAAAATAAGCGTGTTGCTACACATAAAAATGATTAAACTGCCACGAATATACACAAAGGTTACCGCGCGCGCTGCATTGCCGTACATCGAGCCGTTATGCACTATCATTCGCACAGCATAATGCTCGAGCAATAAGGCAGCAGTACGTGCCGCTTCGCGTCGTAATATTATTATCATTCAAAACATAATCATTCCCTATTAACTACCATTTAACCGATCCGCATACTTGATAATCCTTTTAATTACAGATAAACATACGTATTCTTTAAGAAATATTAATTCCGTGTAATTGATCTAAAGATAAAAATCACAGCGATATATAGGAAGCAGAGAGTTACAGAACGATAATTAATTGTAAATTTTTTATAATACTTAAGATAATTTTCGTATAATGATCTAAATTTCATTAGTAGCCAATCTCAATATCAATTACTGAGCAGTAAAAATTTGTATCGTCTAAATTGTAAAAATTAATAATAAATAATAAATCAATAAAAATTAATAATAATTAATAATAAATTATACAAACACAAATTTGAACACGCAAATTCTACGCGAAATCACCGATCAACTTTGATAATTTATAAGTCAAAGTTTATGATGATCTTTGATATTTGCATTTTAGGATTTTTATTTCTAATTAATCTCCATAATGAGCTATTAAAGTATTATATTTGTATGGAAGACTAACCGTATATATTTTAATCGTATATATAAATATTTTTTTTAAATAAAAAACATTTTGTACTATAACGTTTCACAGAAAGTTATGAAAAATAATCACAAATAGAAAGAAAATATTGAATGATCTTTGTATGCAACTGTTTTAAAGAATGTAATCATAGGGCGCGATCATTAACATGGCACAAGAAAAGATCAGGAACATCATCCTCGCGTATCGATCGCTTCAGAATTTATCGATCGCTTCTTAACTTGGTCATATATTAATATAATGAATCAGTCTGGCGTGCGACTGCCACCGATGCTTGTGCTTGAATTTCCTTCCGCAGATTGGGCACTCGAAGGTGGGATCTTTCCCGCATTCGACCCGCAGATGTTTCTTCAATGAGTCCCGCCACATGTATCGTTTGCCACATCGATAGCAAGACCAGGATTTCAGGCAAGAAGCTGAAAAACAAGATCGATGATCATTAAACTGTTCCCTCGACTAATGTTTGTCGACCAAAACATCGAAAGCGCGCGATTTAATACGTCTTGGTGTTGGAAGAGCGCTAACTCTTACGTTATGTCATTGTGGTAAATAATCGCTGTATTTTTACACTCTGTTCTCGGATAAATTGTTAGAATTCTTTAGAATTCTTTCTTATCGGATACGTATTTAATACTTTGATATTGAATACCGTGTATCGAGTATTATATCGCATATAGTATAATAGAAAAGATTGCTCGTGTAAAAAAAGAAAATATTTTATAGAGAAGAATCGTACTATAAACTATCGTACATATAAAAAATTCGAAGGAAATTCGTTTAAAAAATGAAGAAACAAAATTTTATTATATTATATTACAAATAACATGAATACAAATCGCAAGATTGAATTGCGATTTCAATCATACAGTTGACCATACGAAAATAATATATTCATATAATAAGAAAAAATTAGTAATAGATAATATCATAATCGCAATAAATAAATTTCTCATTAACTGAAAAATATATAAGCTTATGTAAGAGAATAATTTATTACGTATCGAAATAAAAAAATAAAGACACTAAAGCCTTGGTTATTATCTGCAAAAATAAAAAAAACTGATTTTGACCAAAAATAAATTTGAATTTCTTAAAGTAATTTATATATTTTAAGTATTAATTTCGCCATTTTTGTCCCCATATTCGAGTAAGATTCACAATCAATACAGTAGGCTCACAATCAATATAATATATATAAGATAAGATTACAAAAAATAAGTTATTAATGTACCTTTTTACAAAAACAATAAGATTTATTTTATATTATAATAAATAATTCTTTATATGTTATTTTAGTATTATAATATAAAAATTAAAGAAAAATAAGAAATAAAAAAATGTCGGCATATGATGAGATTTATTTACACAGATAATCAATACTAAATAACTAATTTGACGTAATCACGTTTACAACACATATTAACAAATATAACTAAAATGAGATATTTGCATGTACAAATATTTCGTTATTTTGCCTATTACTGAAAGTCATTCCCGCATTGTATTTATTTATCTGATAAAAATGTTATACAAAAAATTAAAAATATTGTACATAATGTACATATATCGATACGTTCTATTATTCTATACGTTCTTAGCTATAATAAACTGTGATCTAAAGAAAGTCTAATTACTACTATGCTATTTCTCATAAATTAATACTAAAAAATTACATATGAGTACATCTAAAACATAATTCTTATTATGGCTGCTTTCCTTTTAGGAGACACAGTCGACACAAGTGTCGTTCTTTGTCACTCTCTGAATGTCAAGAAGGATAGAACGACGCTTGTGTCGATTTGTGTTATCAAATGGAAAGCAGTGTAAATTATTCATTTTTGTAGATATATTGAAATCAACGTACAAAAGATGATTTGCTATTTCCATATCGGCTCTTATCTATTATTAGCGTAGAAAAATTAATTGTTTTACCCTTTTCCTGCTGTTTTTAATTACATCGAAATATACAGGATGTTTAGCGTAACGGTCCTCACGATTTCTCAGACACTTCCAACAGTTAAAAAAAATTATAAGGT